TGTTAGATATAGAACTTAGTATTTCTCATTTTATTCATATCAATTGATTTTCAGTAAATGTTTGGAGCAGAGCAAAGAGTGGAGGAAAAGTACACACTTTCTCAGGCCATTCTAAGGTGAGCTTATCTCCATTCGATATCAGCTTTGTACTGTCTGTTTTGTACTGAAGACACCATGAACGACACTAGTAACCACAATGTGGGTTTTGAAGGATCCTGATGTTTTTTTTCCTCCGCCATATTCAGGCCATAACAAAGATATTGCTTCACCCTGAGAATTCGGCGCTGGTGATAACTGCTGCCATGGATGGTATCATAAAAGTAAACTCTCTTGACTTTATGGAGGAGATATACAGGTGAGAGCACTAACAGTCCATACTCTGTACTTATCGACTGAAATGAAGTCCGCAAGTAAAATTCACGTTCTCGGAAAAAGTAAAAGAGCCGAGCGAGTACGGAGATGGACGGCCTTTTTCGAACAGGCTCAGTTTAAGCCGTTCGGCCCAACACACGAACGATTTTATTGTGGTCGCCATAGGATGGCATAAGCGGAGCTGAAAAAGTTAAATGATGATACGATTTGTTGCGCTCAAGAAACAGCGTCCAGAAGTAAAGTATACTACCACCTTACTACCTTGCGCCGCCGTGTTATGTCAAATGCACTGGAGCTCACTACTTCTGAGATAAATTTGTGTGCCTTAATTTCTCGTGAAATTAAGTGACTTACCATCCCCTAGTTCTTAACCAGTTGCCCTGTTTTCCAGTCTTACAGTAACGAAAGAAAGTTTTGCGTGCGAGGGAACTATAATTCTTAGGAGCACCAAATATTGACCGTCATTCTTGATTCTCAAGCCAACTTAACGCGCTTTATCATAAACTTTTCAGCATTCCTGTATTTTCTGAGGGAATTTACTGGATGAACATCGTCTCTTCAAAGCTTCTTTACTGCTGTTCTAATCGCTTCATCGAAGTATTCTCACTCAACCATCTATGTGATTTCTGGGCCTCATCACGCTGCTCAGTGACTTCACTCAGTCTGGTCACGTGTAAGGGAAAGTCAACGCGTGTTATGGCTGTTGGAAATGACAGCAGGTAAAGTTGCAAACAAAATGGGGGAGGGCATGGTGCAATTGATGTTCTCAAGTTATTCCTGGTAATGGGGGAGGGGCTGGTTTTAAGACTAAATATCTACAGACTCTAATAGAGTTTGGTAAAACTAATTTTGGAAAGATTTAAGCAATCTCCTTCAATTTTCTTTTTTTAAATTGTTTTTACTCACAATGAAATCGGTTCTAAAAATACGGCAGTGTCAACTTAAATCGTTATTCTGGCATATTAAACTCATCTGCCTTAAGTATCTTTTATTATTAAAACTCACTCGATGACGTTTCTAGTGAGCTTTGAAGGCAGGTGGAGTTACTCAGCACTGAAATCACCATTTTTTTTTGTTTCTGGTATTGTAGTGTTCGTTTGATTTCTCGGAAGCGTCAGAACCTCTCCACAGTCCTCCCGCCGCCATCCATTTCTCCTCTAAACATGGTAAAAGATGTGGCATACAACAGGGAGTTTAACATGATGTACTTGTTAATTGATGAGCAAGAGATCTGGGTCTACTATACCAGGTAAGAATCCGTTGACACCTGTCTGGATCAGCGCTAAAACCACGAGTTTGCACCATAGCGGGGGAAATGTTTTCCTTCCACACTTTCGTTATCGGATGTTTTTCATTATTCATATCTTTTGTGCTTCCCCAAAAAACCTTACAAACTGAGTTACATGACAGATAGGATCGTACGGGAAAATATTTGGCTTTCGGTTTTGACGCACGGAGCTCTCTGCCCTCGGTCTATGCATTCAGACCACGACCACTTGGTCAATAAGTAAATGTATCATATGACGATACGGCCTAAGTGCGCAATTCCTTAGAAAGCCATAGTGAGGGCTGACGTGAGTAGGGCTAGATGGATTGACATAAGCCTGTCTGTAGAAGGCCGTCCGGCCCTACACTCACACGGCTCTTTTGCGTTTTCTGAAAACGTGAATATAAATTGTGGACTTTAATTGAAATTAAGAAGAGTGCGAAAATGAGGCGGCCTCCTCGATGAATTACAACGTCCTATTTAGGCTGTTAGAAAAAGTTTGAAACCACTTGGTGCTTAAATCATAAAATGCCAATTGACTGAGTTTTGTCAGGCCAGACGGGAAACCGGCCTTCCAACTCTGTCATTACGTATATAATCATTTCCAGAAGCCGATCAGTTTTATGAGAGACAACTTTGGGCGCCATGTATGAAGGTTTTTTCAAGTTTCTAATGAATTCTTTTTCAGGACGAATCCAGCGACACGAGTGGAGTCTTGGAAACTAGACTTTATTGAAGACATCCATAATCAACATTCTCAAGATGCTTTGCAGAGGTCCAGAGCCAACAGTCCATGGCCTAATGAAGGAAACAGGTAGATAGCACGTGTAGATGAAACCCCTAACCATGAAGAATTTGACAGTCTAGATATGCGTAGAGCGCGCGATAGATTCAACACGCGGTTACATCTCTCTTTTTTTTTGTTTTTTTAAATTCCCAGCTTGGGATGGTAGGCCTTTGCTATGGTTACTGTTATAAATTCTATGGTTGGTGGATTTATTTGAGTATACTCAATGTAATTGGCCATGTAACTGTCCGATTACAGGTGCCCGATTACGACCAACTGTACAGTTACAACTCTACAGAATCATCGAGGAAAATGAGGCAGTTCATGTACTAATCACGTTTGAAGAAATTTGATGATTATAATTGATTTTAGTTTTCAAACATTCGGTTTGCTTGAAGAAAGATGTTTCCAATTCCGTTCCCCTTGTCAGATCCCCCAGTCCTGAATCTCCCCCGCCTGGTAGGAGTTCTTTTCCACCGTTAGAGGTCAGCGGAAGGGAATCAATGTTATCCACTCGTAAGGAGAAAGTCCAGATCACGTGTCTTGGAATATTGTATTCCCCGATAATAATGACGTCACTGGAGGGAGATGCATGTCCTGATACAACGCATTTCCTTATGGCGGGAACTCAGGTGAGTTGCCACTTAGGGGAGGAGGGGAGGGGGTGGGTGGAAGTAATGAACATTGGTAGACTACACAAGCTGTTTGAGTTTATCATTTCTAACCTGAGAGTGACCATTATGTTAAATCTCTTTGCCCTATTTGGCGGAGAGGTCGCGTAAATTTACCAGATCATTACAACATTACATTTTCTTGAATAGTTTGTCTTGGATAGACTCTAAATTCTCAGGAATAACCAATAAGGGTATGTAAGAGAATTCGCTCTCAGATTTTAGGATCATTCTAATGAGAGACGTTCTGGTGATCTTTTGCGAACCAATGTCATGGACTCAAAAAGAATTTGTTTCACTACCACAAAACAATATTCTACGATTTCCTTCTAACTGCAGAGACCGTTGAGTTAATAATAATCTAAAGAGTGGACCGGTAATTTTCACCCATAACACGGCTTCTAAAGTTCAGTGAGAATTTTATTTTCTTTCAGGATGGGCGTGTCCTCTTTCTTCACATGTTTTGGCAAGGACTAAAATATCATCAACTTCAAGCCAATAAGGATGCTGTAAGTACATGTATTTTGAGAAACAAACCTGGCCGGTATGTCATAATAAATAGCAAAAAATTCCGATCTGGTGGAAAAACATCAGCCGAAGCTCAAACCACTTTCCGCGGCGAGATGCGGCAAGCCGTTGTGTTTTTTTTGCAGATGGACTGTGAGTTCATCACTAATAATTTCCCGACCCGGTGCCACCTGCATTTCGTCAAGTCCTTATGACAGTTTGCCAGTATTCCGTTTTACTCCAGGGTGGAGAGAGATGTTGTTGAGGCAAAGTGTCTTGTCCATGGACAGATGAGAATGACTTCGATGATGAGAGATCCGACTAGGCTACTTGCTCCACAAGAGGCTACTTGCGTTTATAAGACATAATGTTTCAGAAAGGAACGAGATTCAACTAGTTATTTTAATTAATTTACTCGTCAAATGCCTCCTGCTTGTTTATTGTACCCTCGGTTTCACAGCATCGTTAGTTTCTTGAAAGTTGATCTGCTTTTTATTTTTTAAGGTTCTTCAGGTTTACCATGACCAGGACAACAACACTCTGGTTACAAAGTGTCGGTATCCTAAGATTGCTATCCATATTTGGTCTTTGCCGCTCCTACAGTTGATGAGGAAGATTGATTGTGACGCTGACATGACATGCTTTACACGCATGGTATGATCTGAAACGTTGTGTTAATGATAAGTAGACATAACTGCTTCCTGTGCCGCTATTATCGTGCAGCGCATATCGTATTATTTCTGATCAGTAAAATTTATAACAAAAATCTCGAACGTGATTTACTCGCAGCAGTCCGATTTTGCACTGATTTTAAACATTACAACTTGCTCAAATGTGATAGCCGGATGAACTAGTATAGTTCTCTTAAATTATTTTATAGATTTGTAATGGGACGGTGTGCTGGGATACATATAGTTGGTTGTAATCGCACACCTGTAATCGGACTGTGGCATCAGCCAATCACGCTTAGTTTTCTCAAAAGAGTGATTTACTATAACCTTAGGAACAACGTACTGTCCAAAGCTGAGGATTTCCCAAACTGTACATAACGATGTTTTTCTCGCAAATTTTTAGAATTTTAATTCAATGATAACAGCACCATGTGTCCTCCAAGTCGGTTAATAATCATACTTGTGATTAACAAATCGGACGGCAGTAAATTAATCACTCGTATATTTAAAGACCTAATTGGACTTCACACGTTTCTATTACCCTACCATAACTAAAGGAAAATGTTTCGGTTTTCAGAACAATATTTTGTTGTGTGGACATCAAAGTGGATACTTGCACCTTCATTCGTTGTCTGTGGATAACAATGAATTTCGCGAAGATCAAGGTAAGTACATAACATAATGAATACAGTGAATAACAATGAACATACGTATATTCAACAACATACGTTGGCGCTCGGAAATTGAACCACAATCCTTCCCCTGAAAGGAAGTTTGTCTCCTTGTCTTTGCTGCTCAAATTTATGATCTAATTTGCGAAAATCGTCTACAATTTAAAGCCAAACTTTTTCCGCAGTTATAGTAAACTTCCCGTGTACAGCCACCGTTAGACCGTATAACCATGGATTCCGTTGTCATAGCTGATACGCACGTTCACTTAACGTAGTGATTCTGGGTGATCAATAACTGTAAAACTTGTCAAGTTTGAGAGTTCAATTGATTGAATCCATGATTTAAACGTTTTTGTTTTCTCAATAGAAGAGAGAGCGAAGGGAACCAGGCGTTCACCTCCCAAGGATCATAAGAGTTGTATTAACAGTGTGGACTCGAACTCGAACCTGGAGATATTTTGTAGTGTCAGGTTAGTGTTCCGTCGTTTCATGTGTTATTTTAAAGCTTAGTTTAACCAACGCGTTTCCTTGAATAAGTTTCCCCAAGTTTGCTTTGGCAACTTTGACAGGAAAATATGGCCATTAATGTTCTTGAACAAGGGCGAAAATATTGCTGAAAACGAAATTTGCTTATGTGGATGAGTTCAAACATAAAACTGTCATGGGATTTCTAAAAAACCTTTTACGCCCTCAGTATGCATATTTTTCATTCCGTTCACTATGTATCTTCATTAGTGCTGGCAAAGAAAATTTGTTTTACCGTTTAACTCTCAGAAGTGATAAAGATGTAATTTCTCTGTATGATATCCATTCATTATCCAGAAAACAGGGAATGAGAATACTCAAACTCAACAGGTAGAAGTTGTTTTCTTGATCTAGCACCAAGTTCTCCTGGGAGTTTAAGGTTTAACAGTCAAAAGCTTCCTTATTTTGTATTCCTTTCTATTTTCTCATGACCTTAACTTTTACTGTTGTAGTGGAGATGGCATCATCAAGATTTGGGACAAAAATAAAACCCTTCTACGAGAAATCATTATGAACGAAACATTAACAGTGGCCTCTTTCCTAAATACACAAGGTACAGATCGTTGGATTTTTATAGATTATTTTCATGAGCGCGTTAAGATTTCCCTTCGCTTGTTTGGAAAAAAGATCAGACAATTGTCAACTTTGATATCAGTGATGAAGTTGTAAAGCAGTCATACATGTACGTTCACTAGAACTCTTTCAATTTTTTTACAATCAATGTCCTCGTTTTGATATTCGTCGTTTTTTTCTCTCTTTTCTTTCAAGGAGATATCCTAATCGGTTTCAAACAGCACATCTTCATAATTCCAAATGAAAAAGGTGAGTCAAAATAGTCAAATAACAGTTTAGCTTTTCAAATCGACACACAAGCGCCCTGAAACTCCTCCAAGGAGGAACACATATTGGCTGAAAAGGACAAAAATGAATGAAGTGTTGAGAGCTAGATTTTTTTAAAAAGCTCTTCAGGACTGCGTTGATTTTGCTGCTTGTCGCTCTGTCATTGGCCTGGAATATTTGCGCTATCCTATCCACCAATCAGATGTAAACTACGTTGAAACCAATCAGTTCTTGGTAAGTCACGTTTTCCCCGCGTACAAGCCAGACACTTGAGTTCCAATTTGGCTCCTTGGGATCTTTTCCTTTATTCTGGTTGGTCGTGGTGATTACTCTGGTGACGGTTTAATGACGCTTAATGCAGGGTATAACTAGGGTAACGAATTTTTCTAATACTGCCATTGCGTAAAAAAAAAAACACTTCTGTTTAGTTCGCTCCTACAGACTTCTTGTAAATCGGCTTGCACAGATCTTGAAAGCCCCTTTTACTTAGGCGTGTGACGTTGAAATTTTTCTTGAATCTTTCAGTGTACCCTGTGAAGGATGGCTTATTACCTGGCAGCAGATCTGAATCAATCGACGATGAGGCGTTTGAAACAGGTAGATAAAAGGTTGTCTGTATTAATCGTCAATTCATTGCCTAGCTCACCTTTTTTTTATTTTTTGCTTAACACGATATAGAATCAGACATCTACGAGGACCCATCAGTAAGATTTGAAAGCAAAAAGATTCTGCAACCAGATCCTACTAACATGGAGAACTACTTGGTAAAGCTTTAATTTCCAACTTGGTCCACAAGTATTAGTCTTTTCCTTAATTCCCAAGTTGTGAACTTTCTCTCTTTGTCAATCTCTAGGTACCATTTCCAAACTTACAGTTGAAGACGTCTTGGTTTATGGAAGGTCGACCTCCCCCAGACCTTGAACCGCAAAACCAACAGGAGGACGAAGAGGTACAAGTAATAGTTATTTTGAGGTTAAAGCAATTTCCCCTCGAATGTCGAAAGTTAACAGGCCTTGCGTTGGTTTTGCTCTATTTCGCTCTGTGATTGGTCTAGAAAACTCCTAATCAGATGCAAAACTGAAAACAAACGTCACTCGGTTGAAAACTACTCTTAAGTACTCGTATAAAGACACTGTTAATGTGACAAGTTACACAAAATTTTTGTTATTTTATTCGTTTGTTCATCCTCGCAAACCAACATCTGAAGATCTTATTCCAATTAATAACGAGTTTTGACGAACCATCAAACAACCTACACCTTAAAATAGTGCAACTTATAATACTCTTTGCTTTACTTTCAGTCTATTAGCTTAATGTCGGACAGCCTCTCGCTCGCTCCGACTGAAGTCTACGGTTCCCCATCCTCCACCCCTCGACGAATTTCTTTGGCAAGCTCTGTAGCGATGTCTGAACGCAGAACCAGTACAGAATTATGGGATCTTCCTGAATTTGGAAACTCGCCAGTGAGTTCGCCACCCAGAACTCCTCCACCAGAACCAACACCACCTCCCACCCCTCCCCCAGTAAGTTTTTTCGAAGGTTTTGTTTTGCGTGTACTGTGTAATTGGTATTCTTTAGATAACGATGAAATGATATATAAAATAGTAAATAAAGGGGGTAAGTTTCTAAGGAAACTTGGGTCTGCGTCGATGGGAGAGTATAACAGGGTAATTAAGTAATATCAACTGAGTTGATAACGTAAATTGGCTGCCGTAAAGAGTTTAAAAGCTAAACTCTTGACTCTTTACGATGGCCAATTTACGTTATCAACTCAGTTGTTGATGCTTAATTATTCTATTAAATAATGAAACTGAGAACAGTTCCCTTTTGCTTGTAGGAGGTGGAGTCTGATGAGGACTCGAGTGGAGGTAATGTAATTTTATCTGTGTTCTTTAACTCCTACAAATATGATTACTTATAATGATGAGGCTTGCGCTTGCTTTTGCAAGGATTGTAGTAGCGTATCCAGGGGGGAGGAGTTTATGGAGAACTTGCAATACCCACTTCCCACTCCTCCCTTGATGAGACGTATGGTGATTCTTATTACTTTTACTGAAACAAAATTTTTACCAACGACAGGATTGAAATATTTAGCAGCTTATCAAGAGTTAAAAAATTTTGCTTTCGCAATCAAGGTGTGGACCTCCCGGTTACAGAATGTGCGTGGTGTAAACATTTGATAATCGAAGTTCATTCCGTTATTGCTCTCGATACATCTTTTGATTTGCTGTCAGGTGAAGAAAAGAAAGAGCCTCAAAAATCCGACGAAGAACCTTGTGAACGATGCGAAGATGTGAACAAAGAAGGAAAGAAGAAGGTTCCTGTCATTTCCAGCTTCCGACGAGAGAAAGGGAGGATGGGAAACATAACCATTGACTCTAAATCCTTGCGCTCTGGCTTTGGAGGTCCCGGATATGCCGCCCCAGTCGCCCGAAAATTGATTGAACAGAGGCCTGAGCCCAAGTCGTTTAAGGTAAGAACATCAGTAACGGCTGAATGGATAATCATAATAGTTTTCAAATATGTAGCATTGTCAACTTGCAAGAAGTTTAACTCATAATTTTTGAGGTAGATTTTTAAACTTTACATAAGTTGGCGATTTTTCTTTTTCTAGCCTCGACGTATCCCAAGGCCCATTGCAAAGAAAGCAAAGAAGCTTAAAGATAAGGGAGAGGAAGAGGCTACGAAAGAAATACAAGAGAAAGAGACAGAAAAGATTGTAAATGAGTCTGGTGAAGCTGAAGAAGAGAAACAGAGGAGCGAAGATACAATAAAAGTTAACGATGATGATGATGGAGATGACGATGATGTTATTGTCACGCATCGGATGCCCAGTGTTGTTACCATGCCAACAGGAGAACACAAACCTTTCATACGACAAGACACTGTTAGTTCTAGACAGGTTCCAGATCAGATGTCTTCACGATCAGCAAAGAACAAGGAACAGATGCCCGAAAGAGAGAAAGCTGAAGGTTCTCTTGTTTTGTTGTTTCGGTTTTCCTTTCTCTTGACAGTGATTTTGTTTATTTCAATTCTCGTCGTTGCACATTTGTAGAGAAATCGCATGTATGGTAAATGACCATGAATTACTGATTTACTTTTTGTAGACGCAAAAGAGCCGCAAATGACCACATCATATTCGCCTTCTCAAAGAACTGCTGAAGAAAATACAACGACTGCTCTACTGAACGACGAGAATCAGACTGCTGATAATAAAGACGAAAATGCACTAAATGAAGACAACGAAGCCAAGGGTAAAGAGGAAAATGAAGATGAAGCTCCAGTGGAGGATGATAAGCCGGAAAGACGTGATTCACCTGAACCAAGTGATCCTCAATTAGTGACGTTCATTGATCCTGATACAGGCGAGGTGATACAAAAACCACTCAATGAAGTCCCGATTGATGCCGAGATTCTTGAAGACTATGATGATGATGATGATGAATTAGAGGGGATGGATGAACATACTAGCGCCCAAGTTGAAGATCCAACGTCGTCTTGTCGTAGTACACGAAGCGATCGCGTACAGAAAAGTGTGACCTTTAGCGAAGACCACATCCGAACATCTCGACGTAATCGACAGTTCCCCAGTCTATACACCTCTGGCAGAGATTCCCCAACACTTAGATCCCATAATGCTGGCTTAGTCTTCAAAGAAACAGTGTTGCCTGTTTATGGCAACAAAAGGGCTGGTGACCCGTTGAGAAAAACGTCCAAGAGCTCGTCAGGTGTTTCTCCGCTAACAATATTCGCACTTGCGAAAAGTAGGCGAGAACACACACCTACGTCGAGTAACGTTAGAACTCGGTCAGCGGATGGACGCTACAGACAAAAACACGGTACAACAGATAATTCCAGTCTAAGAACTGATGAGGTGAACCACGGTGATTTTGACCTGAATGATGAAGATCTTGCACGGCTTATCGATACCATTAGTCTGCAGACTGGTGCAGGTGGACATGAAACGCCAGGATCATCGAGGCCCCCAAGCGTTAGAAAACAAGGAAGCACTCTTATGCGCTGGTGCATACAAGCGCTCCAGAAACCGGACCGGGAGGTCCTTTTCCCACCCAAGCCAACGCGGCCAAGTAGTTCACCAAGTGTTGCTACATCGAAAGCGACAAAGAAAGCAGAAGAGACCCCTAAAGGTGATAAACGTCTTCTCTTTTGATAGCCAGTAGATCAGTCTGTCATATACTTCGTTTTTAGTAAGAACTCTAAGTGATTTTCAAAAGAAATTCTCCTGGTTCGTCGTTAAATCAACACCTGGAGGATTTACATTCTGTAACCATTTTGGCCAATATCTTCGAAATATATATGTGTTCTATTCGGAGCATGACATACAACTTGCCACGCTTCTCTTGGTAAGATTTTCTACGAGCGCACGTGAATTCTTCCAGTTAAAGGGCGTTTCTGATATTTGCCCTCCTTACTTAATAACACAATTAAATAGTTCCGTAGGAGGATCACTCTAGTATCGAATGATGTCCAAAATCAACCATCGCGGTGAAAAGTGACGTTTAACAATATTTTTGCCTATTGCCCAGTATTTCAGGATTACCATGTTTTCACATTTTTCTCTGGTAGGTAATATACTGTACCTGAACAAAAAAGACTCTGAGAAAAGACCACAAACTGCCGACACAGTTCGCAGTAACGCCACGAGCCAGGAAGAACACTCGATGTTTCCGTATGAGAATAACCCATCGCGAAGTAAAGGAACGAAGCAAACTAAGACACGTAAGAGGGACACACCTGCCAGGATGAACACGTGGAAGCGCGTGTCTTCTGATGAAGATGGTCAGTAAAGCGTTTGTAAAGTGTGGGAGGATGCCATAGCATTTAGATGGGATCACTAATTCTCTTTCCTAGCTGCTCCACAGTTCCTTGTTAATCATTTAAAAGAATTGGCGTTATATTAAGATAAAAGCGTCAGTTATGAGTTTATTGAAAGGAGTAAGCAGTAATCTCATCAAAAGATGTTTAGGTTCGAGACCTTACAATCGCATTGTGTTCTTAAGAAACATACTTTACCTTCATCCTCACCTTTTCTCCTCTAAGAATGTAAATGGCTACCTGTAAAACCGGACGAAATATAATTCGGGTGCCAGTGGTCGCTATATTTGACCCAAGCCATCCCGGATGTTGTAGGCCATTTGTTACATAATAAAATGTTATTGTATTCTTTTTCTTTCATAATTCGTCCTTGTGATTTCATATCAAAATTTTCTGCGCTATCAGTGATGTAGGGCATTTTCTTAATAAATGGAATTCACCCTCATGTTTGTGCATAACCCTCTAATGCATGTAAACTTTGTTTCCAGAGGATTTCTTAGATGCCTACCAAGCCATGCGCTCCAGTATAGGCAAACACGATGCGGATAAGGTAAAGAAATGCTTCAAATACAGGTATATTACGGAAAGTTGCATAGTTTTATGAAGTTTATTTGTCAGTGACGTTTAATTTTTTCCAAAACATTAAAATCGACTTTTGCACCTGCAAAACAAATTACCTACCACGAACATCGATCTTACACTGTAGCTATTGTTGTTGGAAACTAAGTGCGGATTGAACGAGTGAGGAAAGAGTGAGTTTTGGATTTGGATTGGATTTGTGAATTGGACTGGATCTGTGTTATCTTTAACAGTTTCCTTAATCCTTTCGTTTAAGCTTAAATCGCATGATAGAAAGGTATTTGTTGACCACAGCTACGATAAAATTGCTCTGGTTCTCATTCACTTCATATCTGTCTTTATACCAACTGTGCGTTTATTTTTGCTGCAGGATTACATGAAGGATCTACTCTCCGGAGAATCATTCGAAAGGGAGAGGTACCAAGTATACCCTTCAGTTCTTACCTCACCATAATTCCTTCACATTTCCCTTTAGTTTCTCCAATGCTTTGCGTCTTCTTATTGTGCAGTTACCTTTGCAGTTTTTTGTTTCTCCCATCTATCACTAAATTTTAATTTGGTCTTTTGCCTCCAGACTCTCAAATTCGCGAGACATCCCAAGTTTAGATACAACCGACTACGGTGGAAATTGGCAAAATAAGGTTTTAGAAAGGTAAGAGTACATATAATTGGATTTGTGTTGAGCGCTTATTGATTAAATGTTATTAGACTTATACTAATCGCAATAGCTATTCGTAATAAGGTGGGATATATGAAGGAGGGAATAGAAAAAATATACTTTTATCCAGCCTCAAACGTGGAAAATTGCGGGTTGGTTGGAAAAGTAGATGGCGGACTCAAAAGGGGCTGATGAAATACCAGCTCATTGTCGACACACATTTAATAATTCCTCAAAGTGAATACACCTTTTTAAGCTCAGTGTTTCTTTTCTTTCCTTTTCTTACATAGTCTCCCATTTTTATACTGCTGTGTAGTAGCTTTCATTGAGCTAATATCGTAATTATTGTTGTCAGGGCTTATCGACTGAAGCAACAGCGTTTGGAAAGACAGAAAAGTGCCAATGAAAGGAGACAAGCTCTCGATAACAAACAGAAGGAAAGATGGAAAAACTCGAGTCACTTAGAGTGCGGCCAAGGTATTCTTTTGACGAGAAGTCTTGCTTTCAGTTTAGTTGAGATAAAGTAATTTCAGCATTTCTTCTGTCTTGCCGTACATGTGCTTCGGTTCTGTCCGTTGCTTTCCTTCACCACTAGAATATTTACAATCATATTGCTTTATAAATTGGTTGACCTATAATCGGTGTTTTTTTTTTTCAATCCACCCGCAGAACAACCGCCTAAGTCTGGCCCAGTGTTGGAGTTCATCACCCCACCCCTCGTAGATGATCGGGATACGTCGCCCTCGCCCTCTCTCAGTCAAACTGAAATCTGGAAACTGAAGGACCAAGAGTTGTCAAACGAACGTCCTTTCCGCCTGAGGCTTAATTCCCAGCCTGAAGGTGTGCAGCTTACCCCATTGGCTAAACGTTTAATGGACCTGAAGACGTGTGACCATGACGTGTCGGATGTTGCAAATGTCCTACCTAAGCCCCCTCCGTCAGCCTCAATCCCAAGCAAATGCAGGTAAATTGTGATGTGATTTTTAAAAGATTTTCAGTCCACTTAAAAACTGATAGCATGTTTCGGACTGTGGTAAGCCTTGTTATTCAGTACAGGAGTTTTTCCATTTCCGTTTTTCCAAGGTTTCACCATTTGTGAGTTACAGTATTGATTTTCCCTATGTTTTTTTTTTGCTTGCTTGACTCCTTACATCAAATTACCTCATGGAATTGCTTTTTACTATTCGTATACATACATTTCAACAAGTGCAAACTTTTATTTATTTATTTATTTTTTGTTATGCTTTTCTTCACTCCTCAGTCGCTATGTTCTCGTGGCACAACCGGAAATCAAACAACCTCGTGCCCAGGCCACAGCAGTTGAAGAAACTCTTCTGATGTTGCGTTTTCCAAAGTCACGTGTAAGAAGACGTCATAATAGCGCCACTATTCCCGGGCTTCACGCCAATCGGAACGTTCGTGCAAGGACTATCTTCGAAATGTGACGTAAATTATCCGAACTGAACAGAATTGTTTCGAATGGGAGATGTTGTTCGTCTGTATCTCTAGAATATTTGATAATTTTTCAAGATGACAATAGTTTTCTTTGTTATTGTAAATGGAAGGGAATCTTCTGCAATAGTTGCTAAATAAATTTGGAAGTTCATTTAAGATTTTGGGGTTTTCTAATATTCTGTTGCGGCCATTCAAAACAGTGGAAACTAAGAGACATGTATGTATGCCCAGCATCATTAGAAAATAGGAATTGCGAGGTAAGCGGCCAATTTAGACAAAGAGAGATGGTGCAATTTATGGCCCCCCTGCACAACTTGTACCACGAACCCTTGTCAATGGCCTCCATACCCGGCAAAGAGACCTTCAACGAACAAAGGTACTTGATCATTAGAGGTGGTGTTGGAGGAAGGGTGGTGACGAAAACTCTACATCGAAACTTTTGTTCCTGAGAATCTCAAGTTTACTTTGGGAAACGTTTCAAATTTAGATCATTGGCTGAGGTGGATCCTTTGCTGATGAACCACGTTCTATCTGGGAAAGTAAATTAGACAATCTGCGAGGAATTTTTACCAACTACGCTGGTTTTTATGTTATGGTGAGCATAGCCAAACTTAATTCGTAGTCATTTTTAGGCGAAATCATTTGTGTGCTGGGGCGTGATCTATGTGCTTCTGTTGAGTGACAGCTGCCACTGCAGCGTTTTTACGTTTTGACAGAGTAATTTTGCAGACGATACACCGGGCACAGATTTGTTGAATCATACTGGAAAGTTAAATATATCTTGTCTACGTCATGTCCGCATGAAACATATAGGAGCAGCCTGATGAAATAAAAAGCGACATTTCAGAGATCTGGAACGTATTTGTCATCTGAAATTGTTGCTACAATTGTAAAGATGAGTTTAATTTTCTTTTGACTGTTTGATCACCTTCATTGTAGCAGCTTGAGGAAAAAAAGTTGCTTCTCTTTTGCTATTGACTTCGCTGATGCTTGCTGAACTCAGTAGTACCGGCACCTTAGAAAAAGACCGAGTTCTTGACGAAAGAGGTGAGTGAAAGTAGTCTGGAAGTTTTTTCACTTTTTTTTTCCACTCAAGCTATAATGCTTTGGATTAATATATTAAAAAGAAAGAACTAAGAGCTACATCATTTTGTAAACGAATATAAGATTTGAAATTCTTGTCAGCAGCAAATATGATTTGGTAACTAGTGTTCCAGGTTTGGTAGTCTGATATGTCTGTGAGTTATCTAACAATATAAACAAAACATTATTAATTGTTCAAGGAAGTGTAAAAGTTTATTGTAATTGCAGGAGTGTGATTTACAGAATGGAGAAAAGTGGTATATGTCTGTTTCTATTCGTGCTTCAACTGTTTCCTGTAAGAAACGTTGATGGCCGACAAATCCCTGACCGTAGACCAGTAACACGCCGGGCAAAAATTTTGATTCTCGGAGCAGGTGTTGCAGGAATTGTTGCAGCAAAAACTCTGAAAGAAAACGGCATAAATGACTTCTTGATCCTTGAAGCTCAGGATTACATTGGAGGACGTTTCAAACAGGAGTCGTTCGCAGGAGTAAAACTTGAAGAAGGAGCGAACTGGATCCATTATGCTAGTGATAAAAAGAATCCTCTATGGGATCTTAAAGAAAAACACAATCTGAGAGGGATTTATACCAACTACAGTGATGTTATAATTAGGTAAATCTTGTAACGTATTGTTGTTCATTGTAGTTTTATAGATAAATGTACGTTTCATCGTTTGTCTCGCGATGTAAGAGTCACGCTCAATCAGGGTTTTTTCATAAAAATAAGCTTACCAACCACTTAGTACCTCAGTCACATATATGGTATCCTTTTTTTTACACATGAATTTCAATTTCGAGTCGCTTCGGCTAACATGTGTCGACGTGCATGCATGAAATATCAGTGTGCTGATGAAAAGCAAAATTCTCTTCAGATCTTTGCCCGATGTTTTTAAGTTTATTTCATATCAAAACCCCGAATTTCCAGTTCTAAAAATAGTTTGGTAAAATTGGGCAAACACACATTGCCCTACTAGCAAGGTACAGCGAAGGAAAATGCATTAGGTCAAGCCATTTTGTAATCCTAGATGGTGCTTATAGAGAAAGCCA